GTGGCGCGAGAGCGAGACAGAGGGACGAGGGAGGGAGGGAGTGTGCGAGCGTTTGGTTTTCGTAGGTAGGGAAGAAGACAGATGGGGTCGGAGTGGTGGGAGTGTATGATGTTCCTTGCCTTGGGGGTTCTTATATTCCCTGGTTAAACTAGAAACTAGCTGCAATGGAAATTTGCAAACTGAAAATAATTGTTTGTTCACAGCACCAAAATTTTACATGTGTCATACATATCTCAGTTTGATTTTTGGGAAGAAAAGCCGCGAGATGGTTTTGGCAATCTTGTTGAATGTGGAACACATATGTGATAGAAAATAGAAAAAAGGAGAAGGAATGCTTCCAGCCCCCAAATCGTAACAATATGTTTCCGTCCTGCCCAAGCTTTTTCAAAACGCTCCTAAAACCGCCCAAATTCCTCGTAATACTATGCTGCTGCAGGCCCCAAATCATAGAAGCTCCGAAGGAATTATTTACAACATAAAAGCTAATAATAACGCCATTCTCTCTGCTCTTCTTAATCATTATATTCGTAAGTAACCATACAAAATCGCCTCCTCTCTCCCTCCTCCTCCCCCACCATTTTTGGCGCTAGCGCTCCTCGTCCGCTTCTGCAACCTCGTGCGGCGCGAAGCTCTCTCTCCGGTCTCGAACGCCTCGCGCCCTCGCCTGCCGGCTCGCGCGAGATCCTCCGTGTCGCACCGGCCGATCCAGCGCGGCTCATGGCTCAACCCCTGCAGGCCTCTGTTCCCAACCTAATCCTCTCCCCCAGACGGCCACAATCAAAGCCCCCTGCCTCCATCGCCGCTTCAGGTCCATCATCCCCCACACGCATCTAAGTGTTTTGTCGTTCTGAATATTATTGTACTTTATGTCTTTCATACAACTTTTGCGGTGTGTGTTAAATACTCATTCATTCTCTTTTCTGCAGGAAAATTTACGCGTGGTTGTTAAGGTTCATACGCGTTGCTTGTTAATAGTATTGGTTGTTAAGGTTATACGCGTTGGCTTGTTAAGGTTATGATTTCGTTGGTTAGTTAAAGGTTTCGTGGTTGCTTGTTAAGGTTAGCGGGCTTGTTGTTAAAAGTTTAACGCGTTGGTTGTTAAGCATTAACGGCGTAACCTAATCAAGTAATCAGCGTAACGCTTAATAACCAAACGTGTAACGCTACAAGCAACCAAAAGCTTAACAAACCAAACGCGTATAACTTGTAACCAACTGCACGACATGACCTTAACACCAACGTATAACGGCTTAACAAGGCAACCTGTAACCTTACAACCAACACTGTAAATCGTTTGGCTTTTGAAAATGCGTACCTATTAACAAGCACCACAACGCGTAACCTTGAAGTAAGGCAAACCGAAACCTTAAGCAACCAACGGCGTATGAACTTTAACTAACCAACAACAGTAACGGCTTAAACAGCAACCAACAGTGTAACCTTAAGCAAGCAATGCTATAACTTTAACAACCAACACATAAAATCGTTTGGGCTTTTGAAAATTTCTATTAAAATTAAAAGTGAAATGATTATTACGAAATCTAGCTGCACTCCCACTAACGCTAAAACAAATGTATGCACATCGTCTTCTTCCTCTACCTTTTGTCAACGGTGCTCAAAACAAACCATGGCAGTCCACCGCTCCTCCGAGTGAGTGTTGAGTGTAAAATGTAAAGTAATCATACAAATTGGGCCAGTTTATGTGGTGCTGTAAGCAGACTTTTCTGAAGGAAAGTGTAGAATTGTTACTTCGGCCTTTTATTTTTATGACAGTTATGAATTATTATAGTAAAGAGTAGCAAAAAATTAAAGGCTTTTTTTTCTATCCTTTCTTTTTTTTTATTTTTATGAAGGTTTAGCCGAGTTTGCTTGTGAATGTTACGGGTTTGGCTTTGTTAAGGTTACACGTTGGTTGTTGAATGTTACCGCGTTGATTGGTTAAGGTTACGGGTTGGTTGTTAAGGTTACGGGTTGGTTGTTAAGGCTTAATCTTCACAATCAATGCGCGTAACCTCATAACCAAGGGCAAACCGTAACCTTAAACAAGCAACACGTAACGCTTAACAAGCAACCCGTAATCTTAAGCAACCCTTAACCCTTAACAAGCCGTAACATGTATCTGGCAAACAGAAAAGATAACTATCATTGATACATGTATATTAAACGTGAAGAAAGAAAATTATCGTTGACTGCAAGAAGAGAAGAGGCCATTCTTTTACGAACGGAAAACTTATTTTGAATGGGGGGGGGGGGGGGGGGAAAATAAGAAAGATCCGCAAAAAGAAAAACATGTGACAGGCCAGAAACTCCTGTTGGCTAGTAAATCTAGATGCATTAGTTTTTCAGAAGCTACAAACGAACATCAAGTTTCGGCCACAGTGTCATTACGAGATGCAATTCAATCATTTAGCCATCTCTCTGCTCTCTCTTCGCTAGGTTCTGCTCCAAGCTTGTGTGGCATTCATGGTGTCCTCCAAGAGCTTGGGTGCTGTAAAAAAAATCCGTCTGCAATAGTTAACATGAGGAAAACCTCAATGCGTCCTCGGAACGAGGCCAGGCTGGGGGCAGGGTACATGGTTAAAGTTGAGGGTCTGAGCTTCATGAAAATATTCTCAGCGAGCGAAGGCGCGAGGGGTCGAGCGAGGGGGCGTCGAGCGGTGCGCCGGCATGGATCAGCGGTGACGATGAGAGGATGCTCAGGCGAGCATGAGACGAGGGGTCGAGCCGTGAGACGCCGGAAGAGGAGTTCGGACCGCCAACGAGGGTTGCAGAAGGGAACAGAGAGGGCTAGGGCAAAAATGGTGGGGAAAGAGGAGGATGAGAGGAGGGGGGATTGTATGGTTATTACGAATATTAATGATTAGAGAGAGAAGTGTGTATTATAGTCTTTACCTGTGTAAAATTCTGGGCTTTTGTGTTTTAGGGGCTCAGAACACAGTTATTACGATTGGGGGTTTTTAGAAGCGTCTGAAAAAGTCTGGGAGAGGAAGCAATACTATGTTACGAACTTGGGGAGCTGGAAGCATTTTTCGCTTAAAAATTAATATTATAGGAATTAATATAAATTTCAGTAATGAAAAATCTTGCAACTCGCGGAGGAGGGGGGCGGAGGGGGGGTAATAAAAAATAAAATAAAAAACTCCTTCAATAGACGAATTTCTAAAAAAAAAATTCCCAAAACAATGCAAAAGCCATGTTGTTGAAGGTATATCACATTGTCCTAGTCCTTTTCGCAATTCATAACCTCCAAGAACTAGTCAAGTTCAACTTTTTTATTTAAAGAAAAATACTGAAGGCTTTTACTAATTTTGACTTAGCTATTTTTAAAATTAGTTTCAATACGATCTCAAAGGAAGAGTGGCTGAGTGAGGGTGGGCGAGTGTAGATTGAGAACGTAATATTATTGATTTAATAAATGACGTCGCCTACAAGTAGTTTCTTAATAGATTGAATGAAGTGGAGGCGTTTTAGCTGCTTTTTCAGAATAATTTAAATCGAGAAAACAGACTGTCGCTTTTAGTAATGGCTTGGACCAAAGGCCATTTTGTTTGGTAATTTATTTTATAGTTCCATTGAATCTTACCGAATAATTTCTTTGAATCATTAGGCCATTATATTCAAAGCAGTATTGGTGGACAAAATTTTTGAAAAAGTCCCTATTTGGACCTTTTATTTACAAAAAATCGACGCCCTTTCAACCGCACTACGACCTGGTTTTCAGCCCCTGTCGTTGAAGACCAGGTCAGTTTCCTGAAAAAAATTTACGAAACTCCTTCCGGGAGTTGAACTCCGCGTGAAGATTAATTTCTTCAAAAATCTTCAGGCGGGAGTTGAACTCCCCGTGAAGATTTAGCTGCACACAACAGACTTCACGGGAAGTTGACATCCCGTGAAGTCTGTTAGAGTATTAAAAAAATCCAGCGGGAGTTCGCTCTTTGGGAAATTTAGACGACAAATTCACGGAAGTTGAACTCCTGTGAAGCTGCAGGTTTTACAAAACATGCACAGGCTTGTCTGTGCTGTGCATGTTTTGTATATATCTACCTGTTTTAACTGCATATATATATATATATATATATATATATATATATATATATATAGTATATAATATATATATATATATATTATATTATATATATATATATTCCACAATTGATTGTATAAATTTCTCATGCTTTTAATAGAATATAAAAGTACATCCTCTAAGTGATGCACCCCCTGGCTATTGTTCACTTGTGGCCTGCACAAATTTAGATCGCGAAGCGTTTCAGGTTCTTTAATTACTGGGTACAATGCCAAGGATATGACGAAGTGATGCAAAGTGGTCTGGAAAGTCATTTTGATGGTTTCATCCTATGTTCATTTTTTGTTAAAAGGCTTAAAAATCTTAAATTAGGTCTAAGCAATGACTAAAGAATCTTATTTGCTTCAACAAGGTGCTATATTATTAAATTATCCAAACAGCTAGAGACCTTATCAGAATAATTTAAATGCATGATATGGGAAATGAAGAACTGGCAGGCTTAAGAATCTATAAGTATCATATGAGCTTAGTGGTTGGCTTTATAAGGAAGAAAATGAGTTGAGAACAAAATAAGTAGAGCAATTATGCTTCAACAAGGAGATAGAAAACACAAAATTCTTTTATAATGTGCAATCAAACAAGGATTTTTGCTTGCAAATACCAATATCAGGAATCTTATTGATAAAGATGGTGCTCGCTATTTCTTGCTTTTGACAAGTTGAAGTTGCTTGCTCCAGATTTTATGATGACTTTTCATCAAAACTAATACATGGGAATGTGTTTCCTAAGTCAGCAGCTGAAGAAAATCCTTACCTCTTGAAGCTAAGCAAATGGTTAGTATAAAGGAAATCAATAACAAAGGAGAATTAAAAGAGATCTTTCAAATGAATCCAGACAAGGCTCCAGGACCAGATGGTTTTAAACAGGCGTTATTTTTATCACACAATTGACGTTGATCAAGGAATGATGTGCGTATCTAGCTGTCAAAATCTTTTTTCTCTTCAGGTAGATTCTAAAACAGATAAATAACTTTTCTACTCTAGTACTCAAAATCAAAAGAAGCCAACGTCGCATCAAGTATTATAGACCTACTATCTGTGTTGGCGCAATGTTATTTAGCAAAATTATTACAAAGATGTTAAGCAAGCAGATTGAAGTTGGTGGTGGGTGAGTTGATTTCAAATAATGCAATGCTTTCTTCAAGGTAGACAAATTAGGTCGAAATGTTTCTTATTGGCACATAGAGTTGTTAGAGATTCCTCTAGGAAGCATGGTAAACAGAGCTTGTATTTCAAAATTGAAATTGGCATAAAGCATTCGACAGTATAAAATATGGGAATTTGTATACTATATTATCACTGCATGGGTTTTCT